GGGTCCCTAGCTGTTTGCGTTTGATATTACAAATGTTTAATGTTGGTACTTTTTGTGTTGAATGTTTGGAAAATCTGGGGGATGGTTTGGTATGATTTTTGGTATGTGGGTAGTTGTTGAGTCTCTTTGTGTTTTGGAGTGCATTAGCAGGTTGTCGCATATTTTTATTGCTTAATTTAAAAGGATTTTCACTTTTTCACCCCTACTTCATAATAGGATGGTCTGTTTGACCCAAAAGTTGGGACAGAGTGTTTTTGTTTATACCTCCAGCTGGCAGGTCAGACCCAGGCAGCCCTATCTATTTTTACCCCTAGACAGTCTGCAGGAAAATAATCTTGTTTGTCTGGTCTGCAGGTCATTTGCCTGTCTGCTGGTCATTGACCTACATGTACAGGCAAATGTAGCCTGGGTACCATCCCCAGTAGTATATTCGCAAACTCTATAACAGTTATAGAGTTTGCGAATATACTACTGGGGATGGTACCCAGGCTAAGGCAAATGACCTGCTGGCCATCAAAGTAAACAAACCATGGTAACAAGACACTAAACGCCTGCACAATTGACAGCTTGATAAATACAAAGTGCCACCACAAATCATTCTGCTGATAAAAACAAAGTTTGACTCATAATATCTCTATTGAAATACACCAAAAGATTACAAAATAACAAGCTATTTCATGGAGGGATGATGTCTACGACTTCTCCTTGTTTATCAGGTAGTTGTTGGTTTCAAGGACATTGCGCTTCTATCCTGCTGCAGTACAGTTAACGTCGGACAACGTCGTGTAACGCGTAAACAAAGATCAGAAAACGTCAGACCACTTCGCGGTCGGTTTGTTAATCAGGTAGTTGTTTGTTTCAAGGACATTGCGTTTCTATCCTACTGCAGTACAGTTAACGTTAGACATATAACGCCTGTAACGCGTAAACAAAGATCAGGAAACGTCAGACTACTTCTCGGTCGGTTTGTTAATCAGGTAGTTGTTGGTTTCAAGGACATTGCGTTTCTATCCTACAGCACAATCTACTACAAGTTCTGGAGAAGAAGACAATAGTTGGTGTCTTTTTCTTTAAGGCGTTTTTGCAGGGCAGGCTTTTAGCTTTTCTCCTCAGATGAATATGGGGTCTGACCGTCTGAATTTCATTTATATTTTAAAGACACATGTTTGAAAATATGGTCCATTTCCACCTGCAGCACCCCTAGCCCAATAGGAAATGACAGCAGTATGAGTTTAACAAGATTGTCTGTGTACGTGTTTCTTGCGTTACAAGATACACACTCAGGTAAAAAATATGTGGATCCCTATCGTCAGCACATTCTACAAGACGTCACAGTGTGATAACATCTCGCGTGTGAATAAGTGCTACACGTTCATTCATTCCAAAACTCTTACAATTTCACACACCATGTTTGACCATGCTTTACGACTACTAGAAAACCTGAACATAACTGGTACTAGAAATGTGGGGAAGGGTGAGGGCACTAATTCAAAATCACCTCAAAACAAAAGAAAGAAGTTGCGATGGCAAAATAAGTTGCAGAACTTGTTACATGTATTCTGAATAAAAACAAAACATGAAGATTAGTTTGTTGAATGAAAAGAAGTTCAGTCGTTATTTTACTTTGCCCTTCGTGGATATGTTTGGACCTTTTTTATGTGTTCCAGGCCTTGGGTATAAATAATAATAAAAATAATAACCTTTATTTACTGTACATTCATGCCCTATCGTGCTAAGTACAGGTGAACAGATGAAAGGGTAATATACATGGTTGTAGTACGAAATAGCTCTAAAACTACACTAATACAAAGGTTCAGCTTCTTCTAGTTTCTTAGTGATGTCAAAAATATGATTTGGAATGGGTTTGTTTAATACAGGATGATCAAAGCGCATAAAAAAGATGAATTTTTCAATATTAGTCAAGTATTGGAAGTACGGGAACGTACTTGTAATATATCTAAACAGACCATTTCTGTCATTACTATATAAACTACAATCAACGACAAAGTGTGCTTCATCTTCTACTTTGTTTGAGCTACAAAATTGGCAGATTCTTTGCTTTAGGTTGACGCATGCTCCATAGAACGTTATTCCCACGTATAGTATGTTAGAGGAACAGGAACTGAGGCCGCGTGCCGCGCCCGTAGCCTGGGTACCATCCGGATTTTGGTTCCACATGGTACCCAGGCTACCGCCCACGGCCCCCGCGTCTAGGCGTGTTCACGGGAGGATGTGGTGTACCACGGTCATTTCCGCATAGTTATAGTTCTACACACGTCTGCCATTGCATGGGAAAGGATTACTTTGCAGAAGGGTTTGTCTAAACCTCGGAACATTGGTTAGGCTGATTTGATGTTAGTTTCTCTGATTTATCTCTGACTTGCTTTGTACGCTTTACACGTACCAACGGTTCCGTCCATTTTGTCCAAACAAGATTGAAAATGAGCACCATTTTGTAAGATAATTCTTTCAATCAGTGACTATTAAATCCTAAGGTACATACCGAATTTTCGACGACTAGTCAGTTCGTCTTGGTCACGGAATAATCCTAGTCTCGCGAGAGAACGCGAGGCTAGGACGAGACTTGCGTGGATCTTCTGCACCCCTCTGCCTCCTTGCAGAGTAGAGGTAGGTAGGGCTTAGGCAGCTCCCAGTCTTCGTTGCTGTTCAGCTTGGCTCCCACTAGTTGGATGTGTATGGCCTCCTTAATCTTCCAGTGGCCGTTGCGGGCTTCCTGATCGATGATTTCGATCGTGTCTAGTATAGGTTGGGTGGTGACCCCACGCAAGTCTCGTCCTAGTCCTTCAACGAGCACCATTTTATAATGGATTGTGCACTCTACAATGATAAGCGCCTATTGCTGTTCACCTTTCTTTCCGCTTGTTCAATTGATTTCAATACGTTACATCCTATAAATAAATGCAACTACATTCTCAGAGGAGATAACCAATACAGTGTTCAAATAGGAAAATACATTAAAGAATGTTTCGATCTTAGAGAAGACATGTTACAGAATAGTTAACCTTTATTGTTACATCATACATATACTCTGTACGTAAGATAACGTTATCCACACATGTATTTAGATTTGTTAGATCTTTAGTTAAGTTGTAGAAGACCATACAAAAGTCTCTGTACTTTTTTGTTGTGTCAATAAAGAATCTGTGCATGTAGAACATTTTAGCATCTGCAAAAATGGAGTTGATCGCAGGGTGGCTAATTGCGTGGTTATAATACATATATTGATAAACACCACACATTGATTTGTGAACAAAAATGTAATCCGTGTTCCTATTCATTTTAACTGTGCTTTTATTTCCATTGATTAAAGACTTGTGACAAAAACCTGTATGTGGATATTTTAAATACACATAGTATACATTTGTACTTTCGTATGTATTGGTGCGAATGACATACCTTGAATTAGAGGCTGTTTTCTGAGTGTGCTCTTTCAGAATATTGCCCCTTCCAATGAGGGAGGGCGTTGTTCCCAACATCGTAATTCTATCAAGAATACCATAAATACTACTTAATATATTATTTGAGTAAATAGATGGAGAATCGTACACAAGATACCAGTTCAAAATGGGGCTAGCCAAAAGCAAGAAAAAGTGGCAGGAAGATGGCCAGATTGACAAACGAGACAAAGTGTTGATGTTTCTGGCGCTGGCGGGGTTGTCGTGTATGTCACTGTTTCTCAACCTGGACTATGATGTGATGCAGGAAAGGTGAGTTCATATGTCTCACACTATAACTCGTTTCAACTTAAACCCTTTCTTAATCCTTCTTTACATGACATGGGTTACCCAGCGTCTCTTAAACCTATGTGCATCATGACAAGACGTCTCGTGGAGCTCTAGACATATATGTCAAGAAAGGTAGCCACAATTGCTTTTTGTAGTCACGTATTTAGGAGTCAATAATTACTTTGGAACGGAAACTTCGATTCTGGAAGGAAAAACCACGACGCCATCTTTGCACACGGCTTGGGCTGTACTGAGTTATTGATATGGTAATACAGGGTAAAGAATTTGTTTTGATCATATTGTGATAATGTGATTGGCTCTATCCTAAACAATTAACTACCAGTAAAAATGAGTATCTTTTTTATTTCTATAGCTAGTTGTAATCATATCATCGGTAGATCTGAAAAAAGATAGTTAATATAAGAATTTTAGCCTTTTGTGACCTGTATCTGTATCGATATAGCCGGTATAACCGCCCTTCGGCGTAACACACCAGCTTTGCAGGCACGCGGCGCGACGGCAGCTAGCTATATCACACCGAACGACTTGTTACACTCAATCTTTGCACATTTGATTCCAAGAGTTGTTTAAAGCTTTCTAGTGATGATGCCCCAACTGTGCTTTTTGGCAACGAGTTCCAGTGTACGATAGTTCTGGGGAAATACGAGTTTTTGAATTCTTGGTTGATAACTCTGATATTTGAAGGCATGACTGTTTCTTGTTCTTTTCTGGGCTGGTATCAGATACTTAGTGGTTGGGACGTCCACCAGTTTATTGGTCATTTTGTACATGATGACGTTTAATATTTTTCAGTCTTCGGAGAGCGCGAGATTTAACCCGTTCGACAAACGGGAGTCTTGAAGTAAAATCCGAGCGTCTTGAAGAGCGTCGTGAAGATGTTTATGACTCCTTCTCCTGGCCTGTGAATGAGACAGCCATCAACGAACTTAAGTATGTCCCACAATGCACATCTGTTCTGTCATTCGATAGGTGGGGATCGGTACAATCCGTCAAAGTAGGTGCAAGGGGCTTAAGAGCGAATGTCTGTAAGGATGAAACAATGGTGGCATCGGTCAAAAAATCGATTTGGCTCATTTTTTGCACAGTGATAGTACTTGGTACATAACCCCTCAGAATAGCTTTCTTTTTGTTCAGAACCCCTTGTTGCCATGGCAACGGGCCAAAGAAGTTTTCAGGGCATTTGTCCAGATTTTGGCATGTACAAAACATAGAAATTGGCTAACTTTAGGGCACTATAACTGATCAGTGCTTTAGCGTAACGACAAGAGCAAGATGTGCTGATCAGAGCAATGCCTAAACTTGTATAAAATAGCAGTAAAGCCAATGTTCAGTAAAATCTGAGGTCTTGGGCACTCTGAATACAATGCACTGTTTTAAGGGTGTAAAAAAAACTGAAATTTTGCCCAACTTTGAAGCACTGTAAGTCCCAGAAGGGGAGGATGTTTTGTTTCAAATTTGCACTGCATAATAAACCACTCCAGAGGTATCAGATGCATGCTTGCAAAGTTTGGGTTCTTGTTTCGTTGCTACGCACTTGTCCTTTAAAGTAGGCCAGTTTTCGTTATTTTGATGATATGTCATTTTGTGCTTTCTTTGAACTAACATAAGCTCCAAACCAAACTAGTTCTTTACTTGAAATTTACATGAAGTATAAAACAACAAATTGTCTATAAAATGCATGCTTGCAAAGTTTGGGTTCTTGTTTTGTTGCTACGCACTTGTCCTTTAAAGTAGGTCAATTTTCGTTATTTTGATGATATGTCATTTTGTGCTATCTTTGAACTAACATAAGCTCCAAACCAAACTAGTTCTTTACCTGAAATTTACATGAAGTATAAAACAACAAATTGTCACGGCGGTCTGTCACTACGATATTCTTTCCCATTGCTAGGCGCGTTCTAAAAGGTATCGGGTTACAAGACGCTATTTTGGCCTATTTTGGACTACCAGTAAAACACTTGAAAATAAACAAAAAGGATTTAATGGTAAGTTTCGTCAAATTAAAATGAAATTATTGCCTTAACATCCTTGTCATATTAGCTGTTTATGTTAAATCATTGATTTTTCAAAATTTCGCTGCGAAAGACGATTATTTTCGGGTTTCCGACCACAAGTCATGTCATGTTTTTAGGCAAACATCGTTTTAACCTGGCTACGTGTATTACCCCAGATCCCCGATTTTTGAATTTTTCGACGACTAGGAATAAGATAAAAAATCGTGTTTTAGGGATTTTTAAATTTCTGATTTTAAGTCTATTTTTTGTCGACATATTGGTGAAAAAATTGATTTTTTTTACATTTTTCGCACTAAATTACCCATAATTCAAAATTGAGGCCATTTTTCAAAAATCCCTAAAACACGATTTTCGGGCCAACCGTAACGGTCATTTTGAGCCGTGAATGGGGTATGTTTGACTCTCCATGCTTGCAGGTTAAAACGAGTTTTGCAGACATGTCATGTCGACCAAAAGTCTGCATTGTGTTATTCATACTGGTGTAAAGAATCATTACAGTATTCAAGGTCACCCAAGGATACGACAGTAGCTTCGCTACATGTTACAGATCCACAAAAAATTATAGCGGACATGTAACGTTACTGTCCAGGAAACTGTTTGTATCTATAGAAAATTGTTGTTTTTTATCTGTTGCAAGGCACGGAGGCAGAAATGCTTGTTTTGCCGCTTTATTGTAAATGACCGCAGGTGACCCCGAAATAGAACGCGGGTTCGATTCGAATTGCACAGATCGAACACGATCGAACACAGTTCGGGCTCTATGACATGTGGGAACTTTGCAGCCCAGATTTTACCACTGTGTGTCTATGAAATGCATGCTTGCAAAGTTTGGGTTCTTGTTTCGTTGCTACGCACTTGTCCTTTAAAGTGGGTCAGTTTTCATTATTTTGATAATATGTCATTTTGAGCTATTTCTGACCTAGCATAAGGTCCAAACCAAACTAGTTATTTACCTGAAAGTTACATAAAATATAAAACAACAAATTGTCTATGAAATTCATGCTTGCAAAGTTTGGGTTCTTGTTTCGTTGCTACGCACTTGTCCTTTAAAGTGGGTCAGTTTTCATTATTTTGATAATATGTCATTTTGTGCTATTTTTAACTGACATAAGTTCCAAACCAAACTAGTTCTGTACTTGAAATTTATTTACAACATAAAACAATATGTATTCTGTAGAATGCGTACTTGCAAAGTCTGGGTTCTTGTTTTGCTGCTACGCACTTGTCCCTGAAAAAGGGGCAATTTGCATATTTTCATGTCATCTTGTCCTATCTTTTGACTCTCATAAGTCTCAACAATAAATTGTTTTGCTATTTAAATTTACACTGAATGTAAACCTATATATTGTCTTTGAAATGCATGTTTGTATAGGTCAGATTCCTGTGTTCTAGTGGCTGTACCTGTCCCTGAAAGTAGGCCATATTCTTCACTTGTCCACTAATGCAAAATATTGGCTATCTTTGGGAGTCTAATATGAAAAAGGAAAGGTTTTAATTCTTCTATCTCTAATTTTGACAGATCTATGCCTTGGGTTGTTTATGAAATAGTTAGCACCAACGTTTGCATGATATAGTTGTAGCAATGTGGCTGTTATTGAACGTATGCCACTTTATCTTAATTTGATGATAACAGTCTTATACAGTCATATTTAACGTCCCCACATTATTGACTCTCGAAGACTTGACTTGTTTCTATATTTGAATAAATATGATAAATCCCTGCGCATCTTTCTAATATGTAGTCTATCACTCTATGTCTTTGTATAACTATGGCTATGTGGAAAACATGCATTTCAGTCAACTCCGCTATTCCTGTACATGTAGACTGTACTCATTTTGAGCAAGGACAGGAACTTAAGTACTCTTTCAGTTTTGCTACAAAGGCCGCTTTCCGACGGCGATCACTTATACCCCCGTCACATTGCGCGTAAATCGATCGGCCGACTAGTTGGCGAGCTCTAAACGACATTTACGGCCGTACTACCCCCGATGTTCCGTCGAGCATCGCGCGAATTTTCGGGATCGCCGGCGATTCTTTGGAGTCGGCCGAAGCTCGCTGACACGCGAAACGTGTTCTTAACATCAGCGACTAGTCGCCGGCGATTTTTGAGGTCGCAGAGCTCGTTTCCAGCTCGCGCGTACCTCGCCCGTAGCTCGTCCCTGTACGACCGAGAGTCGACCGATATTCGGACGTACATCCCACGAGTGTCGGCCGTTCTTTGTCTTCAAAAATCGGGCGATGGTCGCTGAATACGGTCGACCCTCGCGCGAGCTTCGCGAAATATTCGGGAGACCCTCTTCCGTACCTCGCCCGACTTGCGCAACGTTTTTAAAATCGTGCGTGCTTCGAGCGATCTTCGTGCCAGTGTCGGACGAAGGTTCTACGAGCCTCGGTCGAGCTCCTGTGAAGTCATTATTTATTTGGCACCTGTGACATTTATTTCAGATTTCATTGACAGTATACTTAATAAAGTTTGCAGGAGCAACGTCCCACCGATTGTTAACGTTATGTTTACGAGAAAGGATACAAATAGATAAAATTGTCCTTTTTGTACTTTTGTTAAATCAACATTTGTTAACACTTTTAAGAAATTAAAAGGTTTCACTATATAAAGTCAAACGCCTAGTCTAGATTTTGAACCCAACTGATTGAACGCAAATGAAATCCTTTACTCTTGTTCCTTTAGGAGGTTGTACAATAAATTGACTTTTCCACTTGTTCATTCTGGAATAAGGTTGACTTGTTTCTTATGGTGCCCACAAGAACGTCATGTGATAGAGAGATATTACTTACTAGTTGAAGTTTATATTGCATGGCTCTTTTTACCTCCGTCTACTTTGATGCCATTGAATGGATAATAAACTTGTTTACCGGAGGATTCATACTATTTTAGACAGAAGT